GATTTATTCAAAACTGTCTTCTGTTGAAGGATTAACAAGTTTAGTGACAGGTGGAGCTTTACTTGCTAATTCTTTTTAGAAGACTCTCAGATAATTTATTTATATACATATATTTATTTATTAGTTTATTTGTTGAGAAAGAGGGGTGGGCAGAGAGAGAGTGAAAGAGAGAATCTTAAGCAGGCTTCGTGCTCAGTGCGGAGCCTGATGCAGGGCTCAATCTCACGACCCTGATATCAGGACCTGAGCCAAAATCAAGAGTAGGACGCTTAACCCACTGAGCCACCCAGGCACCCCTCTCAGATCATTTCTAAACCCAGTTGTTGTTATTAAGTGTATTTTTTATAATAGTTCAAGAAATCATTATATTTAACAGAGCTAAGATATAATGGAGATTTGGTTGTTTTCATACTCAGATTATCCTCAAGGCAAAGAGGTTTTTCTTGGAGAAAATTGATTCTCATAAAAGTTTAAGATAAGTTATGAGCATTCTGGAGGGGAAGAGAACAGTTGATTAATTAGTGACCAAGAAAGATAATGTTGGTGAGTTAGGCATTTAAATGTTTTAATTTCTTTCAGTATTTATTTTTGTAAGTAGCTAATCGTTATATTTAATTTAATTACTAAGATAATTTTTGATGAAGAGAATGTCCTATCTGTGCTTGGTACCAATTTAAAGTGTTTTAAGAGAATTATTTATTCCTACTTTTGTGCAGTATATTTTAATAACATATTTAAAATATTTGATCTTGGGTGCCTGGGTGGCTCAGTTGGCTAAGCATCTGCCTTCAGCTCAGGTCATGATCCCAGGGTCTTGGGATGGAACCCCGCGTCGGGAATCCCTGCTCAGTGGGGAGTCTGCTTCTCCCTCTGCCCTTCACTCAACTTGTGCTCTCTCTTGCTCGCTCGCTCTCTCTCAACTAAATAAATAAAATCTTTAAAAAAATATTTAATCTTAAACAGGTCAGATTTTTTTTTTTTTGAAAGACTTTATTTATTCATTTGTCCGAGAGAGAAAGAGAGCACAAGCCCCGGGAGTGGCAGGCAGAGGGAGAAGCAGGCTCCCCGCTAAGCAGGGAGCCCAATGTGGGGCTCGATCACAGAATGCTGAGATCATGACCTGAGTCGAAGGCAGACGCTTAACCGACTGAGCCACCCAGGCGTTCCAACAGGTCAGGTTTTTTTAAGGGTGTAGGTTGTTTTAGAGAAATGTGACAAAAAATGCAAACAAGTATCATAATTTACGTTAAAGAAAAAATGTCTACATCTAGATTTTTTAAGTTAGCAGTATATAAAAGAACAAAATCAGAGTAATATTTTAACAAAGCCAATTTATATTTTTTAATAGTTTTTCTCCACTATGGCCTGCAAGATATGTTCCCACTTGATGTATACATACTTGTGAAAACAATTAAAAATTTGAAATCAATGTTCTAGAAATAATTTCATAATAATGTATTTGAGCTGGAATAATTAATATTATTTTTAAATGTTGATATTTTGAAAGGTGAAAATACTATCACATTATTATTACAATTATTACAATTGCACTTCACTGATTGCTAATGAGACTGAATATTCTTACTTATTCCCTGTAAATTGTCTGAGAAAGTCAATACTGAAATTTTATGTTTTTCTCTTAAAAAATTTGTAAATCCCTGAGAGTTTAAACACCCCTGCGAGATTTTTTCTAATGCTTTTATTTTTGAAAACACTTGCCTACTGCCTGAGCAATTATCCAGGTAAATTATTTTTATTATTAGTTTTTATTAACATTTTAATCTATGAAGATGTGAGGACTAAATCAATTGAGTTATTGTAATATATTGTTATATCTGTTTTGGCCAATTCCTACCCCTATTCTTTTAAAAAATTACTTAATTTTGCTTATTTAAAGAAACGAAACAAAACAGACTAGTAGAATATCACACTACTGATACACATGACCCTAAACCCTTATAGTATTAATTTCTGTCTTTGACAAATTGAGAGGTGAAGTATATCCCAGTTTAAATTAGTTTATTTGATTAGCTAGGTAAACTCCTTTAAAAAAAAATAGACAAGAGGAAAAACAATCAATATGGGGGGATGTTGTATTTTTAGTCTTGTGAGCTACTACACAAAAGAATTGAGTTAAATATTACCAGAACAGTTTCTTCATACTTCTGCCTGATGAACTTCTTTCTTAAAGAGGTCTGGTGAGTCCCTAGGTCCCTGACAATAGAAGGGCTAATCTTCCTCTCTGTCTAATCATTTCCTAATAGGTCTTGGATTTAGTTTGTTAATACCTAAACACCTCAAAAATATTTAAGTATATTTTATTTAAATTTCAATATTAGGCAATGAAATGATGGTCAAAGGATTATGATGTTATTTTATTCAATTAAGTGAAACTGCGCTGAATGTGCTTAATTTGGGGAGGAAGTTGTGAGCTTCCCCGGAGACAACAACGTTTCACTCTTAATGAGAGGTGAAAAAACAAGAGTGTTGCTAAGAACTGATCCATTAAGGTATTGTTTTTAAAAAACTGACATTATTCGTGTTAATCAAATGAGCATCCTTGCTTTTCTGATATTCAGAGTATAACATATCTTGAAAACCATAAAGGAGAGAAAATCCCCCATCCCTTTCTTTTCTGTTCCTTTATGGACACTGGGACGTAAAAATTGATTCTCCTATTCTCAATTAAAAAAAAAATCTACTAACTCTAAACTGGCTTTGGTTATCAACTAGTTTTTAGAAATGTATTTTTATTAAAAAAAAATCAGTACTTATTTTAAGCAAGACCAAATCTTTTCAGTCATTTCCTGGCCTCACACATAAATAGTAATATTAATCACATTTAAGATGGTTTAAAATTTCCTTTTTTAAATGATTGAAATGATAAAATAAAAGTCAACTTTCCAAGAAAGCAGCAAAGGCACTCAGACCGCTGTTGTGTGGTTAGTAACTTACCTGTATTTTTATTAAGATATCCATTGAGTCTATGTGACTTTTTTTAAAAATGTTCACAGATATTTAAAAATAGAAACATTTCCCTCTGTAGTTTTCAGTAAAACAAAGCAATACTTGTGAATCACTGAATGGTATCACTATAATGAATCCACTAATTACTGATTATGTTTCTTGCTGTTTACTAATACGACAACTGAATATTTTTCAAGATCAGTTCAAAGTTAGTTTTCAACCTAATGTCGGGGATACTGCTCTTCCTCAATTTGTAGAAGATCCTCATAATGCTGAAATCTTGTTTCATTTGTGTATGAATCTCTTAAGCTGCACTATTTTCTCACAGCTTACATTTAGTGTTTTCCTCTTATGCAGTTAAAAATATTTATGGTCAGGGCACCTGGGTGGCTCAGTCGGTTAAGCGTCCAACTCTTGATTTCGGTTCAGGTCATGATCTCAGGGTCATGAGATGGAGCCCCACCTCAGGTGAGCACTGCACTGTGTGTGGAGCCTGCTTAGGCTTCTCTCTCTCTCCCTCTCCCTCTGCCCCTCTCCTACTCATGCTCTCTCTTTTCTTCTAAATAAATCTTAAAATATATATATATTTGTGGCCAAAAAATATAAAAATAAAATAAAAATATAATAGTCAAAATGCTTAAAAACAAATCAAGAAAAGCAGTCTACATGTCAAAATAATTTTGAGATTGAAGCAATGCATAATTTTTTACTTCTAAATTATCAACAAATTTTGCTCTTATTTTTTTTCTCCTGCTACCCATTCTTGGTTTTTATTAGTCCTCTCTAAATAATTCTTAAACCACTGCTAAGCAATTCTTTTTCTGTTCTTCCCATAAGAACAAATTCAGGAAAAAAATAATTATTGTAGACTACATTGTATTTCCTTTTACCTTTAAGAATGAAAATAGCTTAACTGAATCTCATGGAAAAGGTAGGCATTCTTATAATTTGGATTATTTTCTTTATTGAAATAGAATAATTTTCAAGAGATATTAAATAATTACGGGCATGAAAGTAACTTTCTTTTTTTTTTTTTTAAAGATTTTATTTATTTATTTGAGAGAGAGAGAATGAGAGAGAGCACATGAGAGGGGGGAGGGTCAGAGGGAGAAGCAGACTCCCTGCCGAGCAGGGAGCCCGATGCGGGACTCGATCCCGGGACTCCAGGATCATGACCTGAGCTGAAGGCAGTCGCTCAACCAACTGAGCCACCCAGGCGCACCTGAAAGTAACTTTCTAATCTTTTACCCCAGGACTTATTGTGGTTTTGGATAATCTACTTACTTATGATGTATAAATATGTTGCTTAACACTATATTAGACAGAAGAACAAAAAAAGAGTATTCTTGAATTGACAATTACGCTCTTTCCTATAAATTTAGGCAAAATATTTGGTAGATGGAATGATTTTTTAAATGTTATCAGTAGCTTTTAGTTATTCAAACTCTTTTCCCTGTACATAAATTCAACAGCTGTTTGATTCTCCACAATATAGAGAGTCTTGCTGTGGGGGATTTAAAATAGGGTTTATTGCCAGCTCTAAAGAAGCTTCCATTCCAGTGAGTAGGAATACATTTTAGGAATATATTGTAGGATATTATATATATATATATAATATATATAGGATATTATATATATATATATAATATATATAGGATATTATATATATTTTAATATATATTAAAAATATATTTATGGGCAATATAAAAATAAAATAAAATATTTATATATTCATATATACAGTGAATATATATTCATTTTAGGAAATTACGTAATTTCCTAAAATGAATCATCATGACAATAAGTATAAAAAGAAAGACAAAGAAATACTATTGGTCCAAAGGAGACAAATTCTGAGAACTATTAACATGAGAATAATTTTTTTTCTTTCAAGACATATCTTTGAATAGTACAGTACTTGGAAGAGTACTGGAAATAAGCTTTAGAATTTTTGGTGGAATCAATCTGAAAATTTATCTTGTTTAAGCATATTCAAAACACATTTCATATATAATGGTAATCAGAACAATTACCTTTAAAATTGGGTCTGATTCTTGCATCGTACCCTGATGTCCTCCCCATTAATTTATCCAGAAAGTCAGAAGGTGACATTGGAGCACTTCGAGATCTTGCACTGTCTGTTTCCTTTGTTGCAACCAAGCTACAAATGAGAAGAACATTCAGATTTTACAAAAAAATGACAACAAAAAGTCTTCCTAATAGTTGTCCCTATAAATAGAGAATAAAAATGGTAAGCAAAAATACCTTTAAAAAGATAAACTTTCTATACTATACAGTGAATGTTATCATAATGACAGATAGGCCTTTATAGATCTACAGTCAGTATTTATAAAGTTTCATATGTATTCAGCCCAAAGGTCAGAGGTGACATTTTGTGTTAAGTCTGGAAACAAAGCCATTTCCAAATTAGTAGGCTTTCAAAATTTGTATTTACCCAAACTTGACTTTTAATTGCAATTTTTAGTTAAAAGTGTCTTTAGTGATTCAGGCTTAAGAAAAAGAAAATGAAAGTTCAGCTGTGGAATGTAATTCTTATTGCTTTTATTGAGGGAAAAGCATCACCTTTCAAGTTTTGTGAATTCTTTCCAATGGTAATAAAACTTCTGTCCTACAGATTAAACAGTAATGTTCTTTTCTTCAATTAGATGCTTCCTCTATTAATAGCATACCCCGTTAAACTCATTCTGCTTTCACCTTGTGTCATTCATCTATAGAACCTTTTGGTCAGATCAAAAATGTGTGCATTAAGATTGAGAAATTACCATCAATGTGGTGAGTGCAGCTGGCTATTACACAATAAGAATGTGTGTCCAGGGGGGCGCCTGGGTGGCTCAGTCATTAAGTGTCTGCCTTCAGCTCAGGTCATGATCCCAGGGTCCTGGGATTGAGCCCCGCATCGGGCTCCCTGCTCCGCGGGAAGCCTGCTTCTCCCTCTCTCACTTCCTCTGCTTGTGTTCCCTCTCTTGCTGTGTCTCTCTCTGTCAAATAAATAATTAAATAATCTAAAAAAAAAAAAAAAGAATGTGTGTCCAGGAAAAGTAGAGAGTTACCGCACTGTTTTTTCATTCAGACGCGTTCTGTTTTATGCAGCTGCTCATGCTAGAAGCCCACACGTGTCACGACACCCCGTCCAGTTCCTCATTTACCTAGGCTGGTCTACAGAGGGCCGGGGCCTGCGTGCTAAGATCAAATAATTCTTTTCATCCATAAAGCTTTGCTCAGGTAAGTGAAACAGACTTCCAGAGCACACATGTGTTTGAAATTGATATATTCAAGCTGGTATTTCCTGGAGATGGTCAGTCATCATAGCCTCCCAGCTCTGTCATTCAACTCAGAGCATTGCCAGGCCCTGAACTTTTGTGGTCATAGCTTGATGTCAGCAGTATCAAATTCCTCCTGCTGAAACTTATCCAAGTTGTCCTATCCAAGTTAGGAGTGAGGTTAGGTAGTGAAAATGGGTCTTAACAGCCATCACTGTTGAATTGTCTACCACACACAGAGGCACAATTTTAAAATCCAATATCAATCATTGTGTGAGAGTGATGTTTCTGCAAGTGGAGGATCACAGCTAACAGCGTCCATTAACTATTGTGCAGTTCTAAAGATCCTAGCTCGTTCTAGACATTCTAAGCCACTTATCAGGCCAATGGCTCACTCTCTCTGTCTTTCATGCTCACTACCGAACCATAGGTTTCTCCTCTCTCTATTCTTTTGGCTCTATGTTACTTTGTGACCCTTTACCTCTGATTATTACTGGTCAGTTGAACTCCATGCCACCATGATCTCTGGAAAGTTTATTCTAATGTAATAATAATAATAATAATAATAATAAACAATAATAATAATATCATTAAGAAACCACTATGTTCTCAATGACTTTAGAACTTTCTCTACCATCTGGTTTTAAGTAACTTTCACCTGTCCTCTTAAGCAGCATTTGCTCATTTTCCATAGCCCAAGAACATAGGGCAGAAAGGATTGTCAGAGCCCTCATAACTACAGATTGCTGCTTCTAAACCATTCTTTGCATTTCTTTTACAAAATCCTTCCTTTCAATGATCATAAAATAAACTTCTACATCCTCCTAACAACGAATAAACCAACTTAACTGGATCTGAACCAGTAATGCCCTGCCCTTCACTTCTTAAAAAAAACAACAGAATATTATGTATGCTAAACTGACAATCCCTCACATTTTGCACTGCGTGGGGGGGATTATTCCAGATTATCCAAGTCAGCCCTACATGCAATGACAAATCTCCTTATAAGAGAGAGGCAGAGGTATATTTGACCACAGACAGAGAGGGAAATCACTGTGACCAAAGAGGCAGAGATTAGAGTGATGTGCACAGCCAAGTAATACCAGAAGTCAGGAGATGCAGGAAAAGGAAGGAACAGATTCTCCCCTAGAGCCTCTGAAGGGTGCATGGTCCTACTCACACCTTGTTTTGGGCCCAGTGAGCTGACTTCAGACTTCTAGCCTCTGAAACTGTGGCAGATTTAAACTGTGGTGCTTTGTTATGGTAGTCATAGGAAAGTAGCACTGGCCTTCCAGTGAGTTTTTCATTGGGTGATTCCACTTTTCAACTCCAGAATTGCTCTTTTGGGGTGCCTGGGTGGCTCAGTTGGCTGTGTCCAACTCTTTATTTTGGCTCAGGTCATGATCTCAGGGTCATGGGATTGAGCCCTGAGTTGGGCTCCACGCTCAGCATGGACTCTGCTTGCCCCTCTCCCTCTGCTCCTGCCCCAGATCTCTATCTCTAAAATAAATAAGTAAAATCTTAAAAGAAAATAACTGGTTTAGGGGCGCCTGGGTGGCTCAGTTGGTTAAGCGTCTGCCTTCAGCTCAGGTCATGATCCCGGGGTCCTGGGATCGAGTCCTGCATTGGGCTCCTTGCTCAGTGGGGAGCCTGCTTCTCCCTCTCCCACTCCCCCTGCTCGTGTTCTTTCTCTCTCCCTGACAAATAAATAAAAAATAAAATCTTTAAAAAAAAAAAAAAGAAAAGAACTGGTTTAAAGTCTTTGTCCAGTAGTTCTACTCTCTTTGCTTTCTCAGGGAAGATTCTATTGATTGTCCTTTTTTTCCCTATGTATGAATCATAGTTTTTTTCCTTTGAATGTCTCATATTTTTACTGAGAATGGACATTTTAAATAATATAGTATGGCAATTCTGTACATTATATTCTCCCTCCTTCCTAAGGTTTGTTGTTGTTGCTGTCTGGTGTTTTTTGTTTTTGTTTTTGTTTTTAATTGGCTTTTCTAAGCTAATTCTGTAAAGTCTACATCCTTTATTGTGTATGGCCATGGAACTATCTGTCTGGGTGGCTTAGAAATTACCTAATAATTGGACAGGGATTTTCTTAAATTTCTAAAACCAATAAATCTCCCAGGATTTTCTGGAGGCTTTGTGTTTGTGGGGGTCACACCTTCAACACTGAGTCAGGCAATTGACAACTCTGCCTCTGCCTTTACTTGCCATTTGCACAGGGTTTCAAGGCCAGCTAGTGTTCAGAGCTTAAGGTCTTCTCAGGTCTTTTCTGAGCATGCACACAACTCTATGTGTATTAGTTTGGTAGGGCTGTCTTAACAGTACCACAGACTGAGTGGCTTAAACAACAGAAATTAATTTTCTCACAATTCTAGAGGTCCAAGATCAGGTTGTTGGCAGAGTTAATCTCTGATGGCCTCCCTCCATGGCTTGCAGATGGTCATCTCCTCTCTGTGTCTTCCTCTCCCTGTGTCTGTGTCTTAATCTCTTCTTCTTAGAAGGACACATCACAGAGTAGGACCAACCCATATGACCTCATTTTATCTTAATTATCTCCAAATAAAGTCACTTCCTTAGGTATTGGGAGTTAGGATTTCAACATATGAATTTTGAAAGGATGCAATTAGGCCCATAATCCTGGGCATGCTCACAGCCCCATACATATGTGTAGTTTTCTAGATACCCAGAAATATGTGGGCTTTTCCAAACCCCTATAGACATACCATTCCATTGATTTTCCTCTTAAGCTTTTTGTTTAGTCTGTTGTTTGCCCCCACTGTTACTCACTGCATCGGACACCCATGAAGTTAAAACATTGCCTCTAAATGCTTTTAATGAAACTCACTAGGGAAAAGACTTCTCATACTGAGTGAGCTCCAAGTTAGGTCTAAAGCAGTCTTGTAAGTGGAGTCTTCCAGAGAACCTCCAGACAGGTCAAATAATGACAATTCTCCAACAACGAGGCTTTAAAGGAATTCAAACTCCTTTCTGCCCACTCTGGTAACTTCCAGATTATTGTTTTTTTCCTGCAATTGCAGGCCATTGGTTTATAATGCTACCATGGAGCTAATAAGGAGGACAAGAATAGGACAAGTTATAGCCACAAATCCCATTGTTCTTACCAATATTTAGCTGTCTTTCTTGATTAAATTACTTCATGTATTACTGCAAATCTCTGATTAATTGCCAGAGTTCTGAAAAAGTTGGTTGTCACATTTTTTGATAGTTTTCTCCCTGCTTTTATGGAGGAGAGGATTTACAGAGATTTGTAAAACTGAGAGAAGTTCACTAACAATAAAATTATAGTGCATTTTTATTATATAAAAATATCCTTTCTCATGTCAAAATGCACTTAAATATCTGCTAAATGTTGAAACAATGAATTTTGAGTTCTCATAATTTATTAGGTGCAAAGCACTGTGCTAAGAAGCTGAAGTATGTAGAACACAAATTTGAATCTTTAAAGTATTCATATTTTAGTAGATTACTCTGTCTGGGTCCATCTGAAATCTACAGAGAATCCCTGGGAAGTATCAGTGAGCATGACCTGGGAAGTGAGGTTATAGTGAAGAAGATGATTGGCTGGCTGGCTCCCTTCTTCCTACTACTGAAAGCAAAATCTTCATGTTTTGTAACGGATTCACAACCAAGCTTTGCAGAATGATGTCTATAAAAAAAATGAGAAAATTCTGAGCCAAGAAATATTCCAATTTTCTTTACTAGTTATGTTCCTTTCAATGACACAAGAACCATTCAACCACTTAAGAGACAGTTGATTTTATTTCTAAAGATTCACAATTTTGACTCAGAAGGAATTATTGTCAACATGGAGTAATTGGCTGAAAAGCATCTCTACATCGTCTATCCCTTC